CGGTCAGTCCGGCACTCCGTCATATACCAGGCGCATCCAAGGAAAAAGATGGTAGGTAATGCAGCAGGGTCCATTATCGATTGGTGATGCGACTAAGTCGCCAAGTCGATGGCAACATAAGATGATCAGAGTCTCTTGTAGGAAATCAGAATGGTGTCCCTTGCCGCCATAAGAGTCCCAAAAAGCCATATTAATGCTCTGGGCATGAAGGTTACACATACCAGTACGCAAATAGCCATAAAATAGCCAACGGATGTTAAACAGCGACGTCATCATGGCTACAGGATGGGGGTACCTTAGGTCTACGTTTAGGTAGGTAGGTGGGGAGCGGTTGCTGATATTACGTGGTCTGTGCACTTCAGCTCGGTATAACGGAATTGAATCACGTGAAAAGCACGTGAATACTTTCTTACCGTATCAGGCTAGACTGACAATCTTCCGACAATCCGTCTCTCCAAGCATTGAATCCCAAATTGCTGCTGTTGTCTATCGTGAGCTTCGCTAGTCACGCATTTCTTCAATTGACAACGTCTGTCATCATGAGCGCCTTCCGCGTCGCCCGCGCGGCTCTGCGAGCCCGTCCCGCTGCTATGCGGCTCCCCATCCAGCCTCTACAGCGAAGGGGCTATGCCGATGCTGCCCCCGACAAGGTTCGTATCACACCGTAATGGAAGGAGGTGCTCTACTAACATTGCGTAGATCAAGTTAAGCTTGTCTCTCCCTCACCAGGTACGATAGCTTCCAGCAGTGCGACGAGGCTTAGTGCACCATGGATCCCGCGACTCCGTCCCAACCGCCTACGTTAGACGACTGCGCTGCCGGCCGGCTCTGCTAATTCCCGCAACAGTCCATCTACACATCGAAAGACGTCGTCCAGGTCAACATTCCGGCCGAGTCCGGTGACATGGGTATCCTCGCCAACCACGTCCCTTCGATTGAACAACTGAAACCTGGTCTCATTGAGGTCGTCGAGGACAGCGGCTCCAGCAAGCAGTTTTTCCGTACGTACATATGAACACGGCGAGGGTAGCATAGGGCGGTTCACTAAAGTCTAGTACCAGTCTCTGGTGGCTTCGCTACCGTCCAGCCAAACTCTGTTTTGAGCATCAACGCCGTCGAGGGCTACCCCCTAGAGGATTTCAGCGCCGAAGCTGTCCGATCCCAGATTGCCGAAGCACAGAAGGTCGCCAACGGCAGTGGCAGCGAGCAGGATATCGCGGAGGCTAAGATTGAGTTAGAGGTAAGGCGTGCCTTGGGTGTTTTATTCTGCTCTGTCTTACTAACAGTATCAGGTCCTGGAAAGTTTGCAATCCGTATTGAAATAGACTGTATAGAGGATAGTAGTCACGCAACAACTTGTACATCAGAATAATTCCCTACAATTCCCAAAAACGAAGCACGCCGGTTTTGAGGATATTGACGTCTACACTTGCGGCTGCCTTTTTTGTGAATGCGCTTGCTTGCAATCCATACTGCGGTTGCCTCATCAGCTGCTTTTATATAGTTGCTACCTAACATTGTGTTTCGACTGAGCCTAAATTATGCACTCTTCGGTTCCTCTCGCTTGCTGCTAACAGATAGTACAGTACTTAATGGTACGTGTAGTTCTAGAGGCTACAAATACATTACATCAATTCTTGTTTATATAGATATAATGCACTACATGTAGGACTTATCGACCCGTCAAAGGAGATTTTTCGTTATGTCTTCGCACTCACGGGTATGTGCTCCCATTATTGTGGATGGATCCAACCAGACTGGCGGCCCTGTTCTCGATAATCCAATTCCTATTGGAACCGTTACATCACAGCTGCATCGGTTCCGCGAATTTTCTGGCCAGATCAACTCATCGCTCGATGACCCCGACTCCGCCGAACGCGAGCGCGCGAACACGGCCGTTGATTAGAGACGTCCGCCATGTTCCCAGCTCGCAGGCCCCTCGACCTAGTATCTCGATGTACCGGACTTCCGGACGCTTCCCGCTTCCCATATATTTATCTTCCACAATTGCGGACGGGATACACTTGACAAGGAGCATGCTCAGAAATCCGAGATTCAAGCACCTTTCTTATTACAACCTTCATCGTGTCGGAAGAGCTTTTCTATGGGCCACCTATGTAACAAATTTGGCCTCACGGAAATCCACTCGTCTGGTGGGCAACATGTTTCCAATGCTATCAAAGAGACTCGGTTTAACCCAGCTCATACATACTTGCAAACACCTAATCATAATGGGGTACACCCCTTCACAAACCCCTTATTTCTTAACGCGCCACAAAATTTGCCATTAGATCCATCCAGCTTGCGTCATACGCCAGATATTGAGCGATGGAGGTCAGCCCGTGAGATATTCACACAGTACGATATTAGCAGGCCCTCCGGCTGGCTTTCGGATATTGAGGACCTGTCTCTATCGGGGGATGGAAATGCCAGCCCCCGAAGATACTGCCGATACTGTCACATTTGCTCAGTTCCCACTTTGGCTCCAACTCATTGCTCGTCCTGTGGGCACCGCCTTTGTGAGAGGTGCAAGTGTGAGGTGTCTGGCGGCACTCCGCAGGCTCATGCTAACTTTTCACATCATCCAAGCCCTACCATAGTAAGAGATGGATCCCAATATGTATCTGCTTCTGGGATAGATCCGAAACTCATAGAGAGACTTTCCCAGGGTGAAGAAATGGCCCATTCCGCCTCTGAGAACCTGAACCACGACCGCATAGACACGCAACTTCATCGACCGTTCAATGTCCGTGCCGATACCAGCTGGCGAAAGATTGAGGGGGGTGAAAAAGAAACGCCGTTCTCTGGGACATCTACTCCAATCGGTAACGATCATCAGCGTATAAACGAAGAGCAACCTAAACAGGACCGGGGCCAGTCGACGCGGCCTATCAAGAAAAATATATTTATCGTCGAAGACAACAAGGATAAGAATCAGGGGACCGACCACCATGTTTCTTCGCATCCTGTAAATCGAATAGAGTGTGGTGATCTTACGTGCAGGTCAACCCATACCGGACACTATCCTTTTCAACATAATGTTTCCTACTCCAAACACGGGAGTGAGCAGAGCAGGCAGGCTTTGGACCCGGGCGGCAATTCAAATTGGCCTCCCCAGGTTGTTGTTCAGAAGTCCGACTTTGATCAGAGTCTCGCGCCAGAGAAAGGCGATGTCCCTCATCGCCACCACTCTGCCGGCTTCCATAGCTATGATCACATCGCCGAACACCTTTCCTCGGCAGTTGGCCACAATGCTTATGATCTCCTCGAAGGTCGCAATGGAAAGGGGATTGAGACTGTCTCGTCCAAGGCAAGCACCAAGTGGAGCCCGTATCTTCAGCCTCTCACGAAGCCCAAGCCGGTCACACGGATTGATTCGTTTCAGTGGACTCAAGATACTGTCCTTCTGGGTCACCCGGGCCCCTCAGGTGATGAGAAGCAACAGCGTTTTCCGGCGACAGAAGCTGCAACAGAAGCGTTACATCGTCAGCCTCACAAAAACGCGGACTAGGAAACCACACACAAGGCGAGGAATTCGACGTTGGAGGACTCAACTATTCCCACCGGCCAAAAGGAAACGCTAAATAACTTGAACATATCTCAGCGTGACAATAAACCCCGTAAATTTCGACTGGTCAGCACACCGCCATGGTTGAAGAATCCGACTAAGAAAGCAGCCGACGCTATCGCTCCACTACACCACATCAACACAAAAAGTAGCAAAGCGCATGGGAACGACCACGCGTACGCCCCAAACATTGCCCTTGACGACTGGACAAAGCATTCAACTGTTCGCTCGACAAGCTCTATCCGCAAAGCAGAAATCCTAGAAGAACGTCGTCTACCCCCAATACGGACACACAATTCACCTTCTGTGGTAGCAAAGGTGCCCGAGCCATCCCATGTAACACCCAAGATACAAATTGACCAGGCCCCTGATGAGCACAAACGACGGCATACTCCAGTTTCAGTATCAAAGCGGCGTGAGATTTTCGAATTCGTTCAGGATCATGCGGATACGGCTTCCCCCGTAAAGAAGGCGAGCCATGAGCGTAAGACACTTGCCCATCAAGTTCGAAACCAAGAGGCAATCCCTACAGCTCAGAGTGGACTATCGCGGTCGCTCATAGAAAGTTAGGAGGCTAAGGATAAGCACCTGCACTCGAACACTCAGCTCGGCCAGGAAGAAAACGCAACCCCTAGACCCCTAGATGCACACCTTCGTCGGGAAGGAACTGGTCAATCTTTTATATCTGCAACTCACAAGTCTGACCAGGAACCTGAGCCCAAATACTTTGCCGAGCAGTCGTCCGAACCCGAAATCGCCAAGCCGACGCCCATCGCTCCTCCAAACCATCTCTGTGACTGGAAAGAAAGATATGTGGCCTTGACGGCCGAGATCCGTCAGCTCAAGGCCGAGATGTCGGCTCGTGCCTCACTCAAGAGTTCAGATATTCTCACTCCTAGATACGAGCAACATGGAGATAATCTCGATCTACTAGCGGTCACTGTCATATTACACTCCAGAGATCGAGACGACATCGTGATCAACACCGACGTGACGCGAGATGCAGGGCCCAGCAACTACTAAGGGCGAAGGTAAAAAGCCAGGAAAGAGCGCTCTGGGGAGACGATGACGGTTTCTTGGAAACTCCAAGACGTTGGTTCAGCGCTATAGAATTAGAATAACCTTGATTCAAGGTCCATAGATTAACAAGTAGCAGATATTGTTCATTATTAGTTTATATACTTTCGAACAACATCAAGTCTTCATAGTTTATGTTTGTATGCTTAGTTCAACAAAGTAGTTAAATAACACCATGCAATTCGTAAATAAGTACTAATCAGCTCAGCTAACTAACACTTGGACAAACCATGCTTTATTTACTAACTGGCATGGGGTAAGCAGATATAGATAAGAGAGGCAATAAAAAAAAACAATAACAATTTTAGGGCAAAAGAATAGGTCGCTCGCTCCACCTATCAGGTGTGATGATATACTCCGAATCGGGGAATCGAACCCCGGGCTTGACGGTACTGATACTGCACTTAAATCTCAAGTGAGGATAAGAGGCAGATGAGAGCGTCAAATGTTGGCCACTACACCAATTCGGATAGAAACTGGAAGCGAATTGACTGCCCACTAGCGGAATCGAACCGCTGATCTTGTCATGGCATCTAGGTAGTTCACGAGAATCTTGACGAATCCCTTGTTTACTAGTGACACGCTATACCACTTAGCCAAGCGGGCAATTTTCTTCAGATGATGGCCAATCGCTCAAAACAGTGTCCATATTGTCAAGAGCTCGAAACACGACACTACTCAATTTCGTTACAGATCTGGGTTTGGAGTTTATTGTATGGGATTCTTGTGCTGGTTTATTCGTTGATGGGTCGCTTGCCTACGATAATTTGCGCTTTGTTCTTCGCGATGTAGTGGGGGAACGTAGATGGATAAAGCCCGGCCGGGTCAACAAGCAATATGTGCGTAAGTACATGTCCAAAGCTGTAACCAGCAATGATGAGGGTATTAGGATTCCTAAAACCGAAAAGTAGTAGAGTGAGTGTGGCCAGTTTAAATGTCAACCAATTGCTAGAACTACTTAGGACAAGTTGAGTCAATAATGTTACAATCTGTGTAGACTATGCTCTGCAGCGGTAGCTAGATGAATGCCTGTAGCGTCTAAGAAAAGCTTCTGCACTTATCGTTTTCTACTAGATTATCACGAATATCCTGTCTCAGCAAATTTCCTACATAGTTTACTCTCTCATTTCCCCTGGTATCAGCGACGTTCGGTGCATCATCTTTGCTATCATCCTTTCGTGAACAAACCGTAGCTTCTGCTACCTCATTAATACGGACTGGGATTACGTTGAACAAGTCCCTGTGGAGAAGGAGTTTAAGGCATCGTCCACCTGAAAAGACTTTAAGGGAGCGCTGAAGTCTGAGTTCGGCATACCTGTCGAAGAGCAGGTGTTGTCCCCAGAGGTCGAATGGAACCATTACTTGCCCATCGAAGACAACGCCAATATCATCGAATACTATTTCCGGCCTAGTTTTGTTCTACAGGTGAGCCGTAACCCTCAAGATGCAGTCGCTCCTCTACGAGGGCCTTTTGGCGCCAAGGCCTACTACAACACGGCGGAAATACTACCTTTTTACAATAGCACTCGCTAACCGGAAGACTAACATTCTTCCTTCACAGACAAAATAGGACAGATGAGCACGGCGGCCTGTGGATTGAGTAAGGAACCCCTTCCGGCTTAAATATCCATACCATTCTTTCCCAATGGTAAGAGAACGGACGTGCTAATCCTCTTGACAACACATCTAGTCAGCCAGAATATTACGCGGGATAATAAACCCCACCTACTCGTGGGATAAAGATGCAGCTATCCTATTCCATAACCACATCGTAGAAGCGGCAAGATTTGCCGCTGTGACGGGTAAACCGGCACCGGCAACGCCCATCAGCGCAAAGACGTACGCGGAGCGTAAGCGACCCTCCCCCGCCAGTGCTCCTGGGTTCTAGAATCCGAATGACCATGACTGACAACGAGTCTTCGACAGATGGTGGACGCTTTATTCGATATTTGGCATGAGGAGCCGACGGAATCAGGGGCAACTTCGCCACAGTGAAAAGCATTGCAGCACTCAAGGAGGAACGCACTAAGGAAGAGGTAATCCCGTATCAGGAGGAGGAAAACGTGCCCCAGCGTATCTCGCTCATTGGCAGATACAAGTCTACCTTCAGCCCAGTGGGTGTCCTTTGCTAGAATTTATGCGAGGGTTGACGGGTTGGCCAAATGACGGCATTGTTGACCCCTAATAAGAGGGGTGGCACTACACAAGCTAGCAGCTGATTAGGTTCTCATTTGTTTTGCTCGGGTGCCTTATTGAGAATTGGGATGGATCGTTTGGCGAAATATGTGAAGCGTTGTAAAATCTCGCAAGAATTTAAAGAAAGGAGGACATTTCGGTACAGAATCCATGATAAAATTTACGGCACACACAGATAAACTAGGGACACAATAAAAGTTAATCTTTCTTCTAGGGCTACTAGGAGGGGTTCCCATTAATAGAGGCTCATAGAGCTCATTGAAAATCATACGCGGTGACTCGGTATTCTCACTAGGTATTAAAAGGAGCCTACCCAAACCATTATGTCCCATCAAAGCACCAGGATAGATATAGACCGCATCGTTTAGCTCCTTGTTGGTCGCTTGCCTATGTATATATGGTAGTAGAAGATTGCCTTCGTAGAAAGGGGACTTATCAAATAGCCATAATGAACTGCACTTAAGCAGTACCAAACCGTGTCAAATGCTGTTAGTTCCTCACATCCTACAGTTATAGTTCTCACATACATTCGGGAGGGAGCCTCATGTTGAGCTGTGTACTGGATTCTGTATAACTTGTGAGTGAATCAGTTTCTCTATCTTACTTGAGAGGACTCGTCGTCGGGATTTACGTATAGAACATCAAAGATAGACCGAAAACAGGAATTGCAGCTTTGGATGTGTTGTGACTGCGGTTGATCAGGGTATCGAGAGCCAATCTCTTCATTTTACCTTCCAGCAACTCCCTATCGCGCTTTCAACCACTGCTTGACATGGCATAAAGCGCGCGGCGAAATGCAACTCCGTTGTCAGGAGCGAGGTCACTCAAGACCGACTCTCTCAAGCAGAAATTAATCAGCTATATCCTCTGACGCCGCGTTTGAGATAACTTGTGGGTGCAACTTTCTTGTAAATATCAGCTAAATCACCGTATGCTTCTATAGTACTCTGTAAGTTGGTGGCTCTATTGATACGGCTCCTCATCTACTGTGAATCTCACTGGACCTGAGCTGTCTTAGACTCGTGCATTTCCGTATGCTCATACTGTGCAGAGTTGGTATTGACTCAACCAAAGGTCTTCCTATTTTATTATGTGCGAATACGCAATCTGATGAAAAAGATGTACCGAGACGTCTCAGTAAATAGGAAAATGGGCCTTTTCGGAGGTGAGATAAGCATCAGATGTTCTATAGTGTACTTGCCTGCCTGATAGATAGATACGATACACACTATTCTTAGTGCGGCTAACTTCACGGCTACCTACTCATTGGTAGATGCTCGTGAAAGGCATCGCGCGGCGGTCTTGGTGTCATGGTATAAGGCAGTTGCTCGATCCTACAATTGCTCAAGCATCCTTTCTTACCTGGTCTTGTGGACTTGAGCATTGAGTGGTTGCGATATATCCGAGAGAGCATTCCACAGTTGTGAGGAAAAACGCTGTTTATATTTCAAGAAGAAAGTCCAGTTGCCGAGGGTTGTTGATAGCGGGAGTGCAGAACATCTGTCTGGCGACTTTCTTGTGGCCCGATGTTTTCTCTCACCACATGCCAGGCTACATAGTAGCCAAGCTGGGTAAATTCTGCCAGCAACTCCTCGAAATAAATCACGCCTTGTGACGTACCATTCAGGCCGAGACCCCATACCCTCTAGGCAGTAGTAGTCATACATACTACCCTAACCCTCGTACAAAAGACTTTAAGGAGCAGAGTTCTCGACAATCACGCTCCTTTTCAACATCCCACACACGCAAAAGACCAGCCGATTGGAGCTAGCTGTTTCCAGCATATGGCGTGATGGCCAACGGCCAATAGCTGAATAATACCTTGATCGAACAGAGAGGATGCTGTGGTTCCTGATGATATTTTTGGCTTCGTTTTGTTCTGACTGTAGCTATCTACTAGTGGCTGCTTGGTACCTTGTCGTTGATCTTTACCACATGGTCAGCCAAGACGGGTATTGAAAACATGGTTGACTCAAGCGATGCCAAGACAAGCCTCCATGGGCAACAAGCTTTGCCAAGCAGTTGGGACAACATCAGGGTTGCCGGTGGACGGCAAATGCTAGTTTTGTAGGTGCTGACTCCAAGCCAAGAGTGTGAACTGAACACTTAAACTGGGCAACCCATTGGTAGAATAATACTTAGATGGCGGGCCAGCGGGTAGGTATGTATGCTGTATGCGGTATGCTGTACATACATTGTTTGAGTAGCTTGGGTGGTGTAAATGCCCAGGCATGATGCTGTAAGTGTAAGTAGAGGAGCAGATCAATTAAGCAAACTGCAGTTCAAGTCTAAGGGTCTTGGCGATGAGGTGCACGCGCATATTAATATTCTGCGACGATCCGACTTGTTGCGGGGAGCGGGAAGCACGCAGACCATCCACATCCACATGGGTGATATTGCAGAATAAACGTGTGGCTCTAAGACTCGCGGATGTTAACTGAATACCGGTATAAGGGAAGTACGTCGGCTGTAGATAGTGTGTATCATTGAATGATCATCTAAATATGATAGAGTAGTTGCATCTACTTCTTCTATTTGGATATTCGATGTCTCAGTCCTTCACCCACTTACGTTTAGGGTGTACAAGCCCTTTTAAGTATTTTTTTTTTCATGATCAACTACAATACAATTGAAGAGCGTATTCAGTATATGTGGTGGCCTTTTACCGCTCTACTCCGTACTGTACATACATTAGGTTTCCGTTAATTCTACGCGTAGGTAGGTAAATAGATACATGGTATGCCTGCATGTGGAGTGCATATGGGGAAGTACATGTCGGATTTGAAATACAACAACACACTGACCTCTTCTCGTGACTCGTGTTCACTGCTCGCTTCCATAAGCTGGATAGTTCCGCACTTGGTTCTGGACCTTCCTCTGGGGACATTGGTACTGCACAACTTCCGAGCTGGCATCCAGAAACTGTTTTTAACAACATATCTAGACAAATGTGAGATAGTCTACCGTAATAGACCCAGGCTTCACTTTCTCCTTGCGTGGTGAGTAGAGTAGTATTTTTGAGCGAATCTCTTGCATCGTTACAAGCCGGCATTGGATTGCTTGCTCGTGATCGACACGTAACGAAACAATGATACGTCCATCAGTACCCCATGTAGCCGTTTCACCCGACAACATCACTAAACACGTTGGGAGACGGGATGGGCCAGATACGAAAAATACTCGGGATTCTTCTAAATTGGGCCGTTTGACAATAGCATGAATGAGACGTTGAGGCTTCTCGATCCCATTCTGAGACTTTTCTTTTCGGGCACATGTCGTTATCGTGCTGTCAAATGGTCTCAAGTCAACAGAGTCACTAATTGAGGGAAGGATTGGTCTAGGTAGGTAATACATACGCAGATAGATACAAGTATTGATGGGTGCAGTAGTGTACAGCTGCTGATGTACAA